TTAGGTGACCGAGACCACATTTTTTTACCATTCTACCTTGCGCACTTCTTGATGTTTCTTAAGATCACAAAACCTAAGCAATGTTGTATTCGGTCACCATGACCATCGAAAGGTTAAACAAGGCCCCAGATCTGAACTGAATGCCAGCTACGCTTTACTCAGGACAGGTATTTAGGTTTAAGGCGTTTGCATAAGGAGTTGTGGTGATACCTTTAACACCGATCCGGAGTTAAGCATCGTTTGATCTTGTTCAACCCGAAGGTATGGCCTAAGGTCCTGAAAGTGTGACAAAATTTAGTTTGCTTACAAACAACCCTATCTTGTGAAATTGGTTCTTATAGCCTTCGTAGTTTCTGATGTTTTAGAGAATGGCATTGACCCAATACGAAAGTGTGGTGCTCACCTGGCTAGCCGGGTGCAGATTAACATGCGCTTGGGTGCCGGTGCGTTTCACCCCCTCCCCTCCACAGATGTTTTCCGGTATGATTCCTGCCCAGCGTGGCGTAGCCGCTCCAAAATTTGCGTAATAGTACACAGTTGAATAGCGGATTGTTCAGTGTCAGCAATTTAGTTGCACCTTATAAGGCTGCTGACCTACGGTTGTCGAAATCGGGCCATGGATTCAGCGAAGACGATACTAAGGAATCGTTCCATCTGATGAAGCAACGGAGTGGTAAGTGAAGCCGTACATCTCGGAGATAATTTCTTATGCAACATAACACTCAAACTGACGAAAGTCAATAGCGTAGGTCAAGGGTAACGGTTAGATCAAGGTAACAAATAACCTGCTTGTCGCCGCAACTCAATGTATGGGGTAGTTTCTGGTGCTTATTCTCATGTTGTTCAGAGCAAGAACCACGTTATGCATCTACTATAGGGCTCTTTAAGTTCAGGAAAAATGACGTACCTAAAAATCCCGGGTGAGCATTTTGTTTCTAAGAACGTATCGCCTAGCATAATCCTTGATGACTACTTCACTGCAAAAATATACGGAGTCTCTAAATGTTTGCTCATATCTACGCTTTCCGGATAGAAAGCAGTCATTAAATGTAAGAGTGTCCTAGATCCCGTTTGTTTGGGACCAGCATCATCTAGATTCACATTGGTTGCATGAGACGGTCTTGGTGGGAGGGGGCGAGGGAATTTCAGTCATCAGTCCGAAACTCCACATTTTTTATCCTGGCAAGTCAATTTGACTGCCCTGAGATCTCAGAGAGCAAAAACGCTGAAGACAAAAGATTCACAAGTTACGTGGGTTCACAAAATTCACAAGGTCAGCTGTACGTGAACTCAAAAGTGTAAAACTAAGCCCCTTAGATCATGACATTATTGGTCAAACAGGATAAAAAAATGTCGAGTTTCGGACTGATGACTGAAATTCCCCCCGCCCCCCTCCCACCAAGACCGTCTCATGCAACCACTGTGAATCTAGATGATGCTGGTCCCAAACAAACGGCATCTAGGACACTCTTACATTCAATGACTGCTTTCTATCCGGAAAGCGTAGATATGAGCAAACATTTAGAGACTCCGTATATTTTTGCAGTGAAGTAGTCATCAAGGATTATGCTAGGCGATACGTTCTTAGAAACAAAATGCTCACCCGGGATTTTTAGGTACGTCATTTTTCCTGAACTTAAAGAGCCCTATAGTAGATGCATAACGTGGTTCTTGCTCTGAACAACATGAGAATAAGCACCAGAAACTACCCCATACATCGAGTTGCGGCAACAAGCAGGTTATTTGTTGCTTTGATCTAACCTTTGTCCTTGACCCTACGCTATTGAAATTCATCAGTTTGAGTGTTATGCTGCATAAGAAATTATCTCCGAGACGTACGGCTTCACTTACTACTCCGTTGTTTCATAAGATGGAACGATTCCTTAGTTTTCTACCGATTCCTTAGATTCCTTAGTTTTAGAACGATTCCGATTCCTTCGTTTTGGCCTGACATTGAACGAGTCCTTAGATGTTGCGTTCACTGATACTCACGGGGTAATTTTGACCGGCCATGATCTAGGTCGGCGGTCTTGAAGGAGTGTTTCACATTTGAACATACTGGAGCAATCATCAGACATGATGAAACCACGCCACTTATAACTAACGTTTTATGCGCGCATATGCGTTTTATAACGCGTTTTATGCGTTTAACGTATACTTTTAGATGCAAAAACTGCTCCAGACAGTACAATTATCTCTTCAGGAAATATTTTTCCTGAATGCTTCATAGTTTGATTACGTCATCATATATTGCACAACATCGGTTGAACGTCCATTGACGGCCATTATATCTACAAACGCGCTCACAAACGCCAGATATAAACTCCTCGACAACTGTATTCTCTCGGCCTTGATTGCCGTATGGCTTACGAATTGATACAATTTGAATAACGCTCTTATGTTGTCATGAGTGCGAGGGTGACTTTTAAAGCTTGACATTTCATTTCAACTAAAATTAATTTTACCGTACTGCCGGCGGAAACACGTCGGACTTCCGTAATGTTCAACATGCGGAAGTTGTCACGCATGGTGAAACTGTTTGCACGTGCGGGGCCTCACAACTCGCATTATGAGCGGTGGCGCAAGCCCGGTAAACTTCGTTGGCCAGAAATCACATGGCTTCAGCTCATTTGGCAGTTAAGAATTAACTTTATTTTGAACGTGCACATATCGTTGCGACCAGATGTCGAGCGAGAGGAAAAATGCAAAAAATTTAAGAGAAACAAATGCTCATGTTTGTCATGTCATGTCACGTCATGCTCATGTAAGCTCATGTTTATGACTAAGAAAAGGTTGGGCAATGGCAAGTGGCATCAGGCTACCTGTGACCACCGCCCCAGTCGGATCGCACGTTACCTGCTCCGTCCACTCGCTCGCTCCCCTTATACGCCGGGGGAGTGACCGGCCGAGCCAAGTGAGAGTGTCCGCGGCTCAGCACTGACTGGTGACTGACAAGTGACTTCCATTAGGATGGACGAGGCCATCAAGAGAGCGGTGATCAACGCGGTGACGCAGGGAAACCTCCCGAATTCTGTCAAGGAGCAGGTGACGGCGACCGTGGCCGAAGCTGTGGTCGATAAGTGAAAAATGCGCCAGTGCTGCCATCTCTCAACGAGTTCGAGATACTACGAGTGGTAATTTCGCATGGCTCATTTGACAGCACGTCAACGTCACACAAACGTTCCACGATGCAATGAAAGAATGACGCACTGAAAAGAACAGTTACCAGATATAACAGTTTTCTTATCTGGAGCGGTCTATGCCACTCCGTATCAGCCGCTGCCACTTAAAAGCACACTGATGATTATAAGCTTGTTGATTGCATCCTATGTGATGGTTGCTTCAATCTCATGAAATCTGGCACCTTCCTTTTAACTAGTACAGCTAAGATTTTTCGATGAATTGTTAATTTTGTCTCGGATGAGGTAAATTTGGACCGTGATCATCAGTGCAGATAATACACACGCAAACCTAAACGCATTTAATCACTTCGTTGATCAACAAAACAACTTTGTGGTCCCGTAGTTAGCAAATGCTCTCTTAACCAGTGATCTCCAGTGCGGGGAAGCTAAGCCCAGTTTTTCCTAGCGTTGTGCATCACGTTTGTTTCGAATTAAAGAGTCACTATTCCATCAGTCCCGATTTCTGTGGTTGCACTTGGTAAATCATGTGTTGCTATTTTGTTTTACACGTATGATTTCACTCTGGATTATCACTTCAGCGCATGATTTATGTGACGGGCAAACTGATGAAATGTTCCCGTTTTGCTAGTGCCCTAAATCCAGCATTGGCTCGTGCGCTTGGCCCACTAACGTGGCTCGGCACGAATTGCGCGGAGTTGTAGATGACGCCACCTACGGTGGTGGCGCTAACTACGGTGGTGCTGCCGCCTACAGGTGACGCTGCCTACAGATCGGGTCCGTTGGGGCAATGTCGTCAAAGCGCAAAAAGCGGTTCTTTCTCGTGACGATGCGCTTGGCAGCGTGACTAAGTGCGCAGGGGACACAATGTATTCGCCCCCCCCCCCTCCCTCTGACACTGAAACTTGATATTGCTTCACCTTTTTAACACGAAGGTCATGACTTAGGAACCTGAAACTTTGACCTGAGTGACTTAACGTACAGGTCAACACGCCTCGTTAGTCTGGTATCTAGTTTACGCTTGGTTTCCTCTATTCCCCCCGCCCCCAGCCCCCTACTCTTTGATCTGTTCATCCTTATCGACCACAGCTTCGGCCACGGTCACCGTCACCTGCTCATTAACAGAATTCAGGAGGTTTCCCTGCTTCACCGCGTCGATCACCGCTCTCTTGATGGCCTTGTCCATCCTAATGGAAGTCACTTGTCAGTCACCAGTCAGTGGTGGGTCGCGGACTCTCTCACTGGTTTTGGCCGGTCACTCACTCAGCGTATAAGGGGATCAAGCGGGTGGAAGGAGCACGTAACGTGCGATCCGACTGGGGCGATGGTCACAGGTAGCCTGATGCCATTTGCCATGGCGCAAACTTTCCGTAGTCACATACATGAGTGCCTACTATTTGTTTCTTTTGAATTGTTCGCATTTTTCCTCACGCTCGGACATCTGGTCGCAACGATATGTGCACGTTCAAAATGAAATAAGTACTTAACCGGCAAAGGCGCTGAAGACATGTGATTTCTGGCCAACGAAGTTTACCGGGCCTGCGCCACCGCTCGTAACGCGAGTTGTGAGGCCCCGCACGTGCCAGTAATTTCGCCATGCACGACTTCTGCTTGTTGAAAATTACCGAAGCCCTACGTAATTCTTTCAGGAATTCATGTCAAACATGATGGAGAGCAATCCATGCTGACGCGCCGCATCATAGGTCATGAGCAATATCGGTGCTGTCTCACTGCTTATAAAAGCGGGCCTTCAGTGTATTCAAATCCGCCTTGCATTCATCTCAGGAAAAATGACATCGATTTATTAGTATATTGCGCACGCATATACACATGGTTACACATCTTGCAGGGCTTCGTGCCATATGACGCACGCAAAGCCCGAAGTCGCTCCTTTGCAAAACTGCGTTACCAACGGCACGTGGTACCTACCACCGACAAATGTGCATGTACAGGACACAATTATCGGCGAAAATGAAGGCACAAGACTTTACAACATATCACAGCTATGCAAGTAATAGCCCACGAAGCCCTAAGGCACAGCAAGGAACACATTTCAACGCCTAAACAATTGACTATACATCACTGATGAGCCTTCCCACAGCCAAGGGCGAAATCACTCGTAACATATCACTCATATTATACAGATGAATGTAGAAATGGCACATGCGCATACTTCTAAAGCTCGTATTACATACAAAACTGATGGCACAGAAAATTATCACATACAACTGTAGGGGCCTGAGAAACAGGATGATCACGTTACATCCGCAATCACCAATTGCCTATCTACCGCCGATAAATGTAGATAAACAGGACACAATTATCGGCGTTAATGAAGGCACAAGACTTGAAAACATATCACAGGTATGTAAGCAATAGCCCATGATGACCTAGCAATGAACACATTTCAATGCCTGAGCATAGATATGAACAAAGCAATGGACACATTTCAATGCCTTAACAATTGACGAAATATCACTGATGAGCTTTCGCACAGCCACCACTGCATGCCAGGTACGAAATCATTCGTCACATATCACTCATGATACAAACAAATGTACGGGTGGCACATGCACATATTTCTCAAGCCGGCATGACATAAACAACCGATGGCACAAAAACTATCACATACAAATGAAGGCACCTGAGAAACAGCATCATGACGTTATGTCTGCAAGCACCGACTGCCTGGGATAAAAGGCGTCAATACAGCGTGACAAATCACAGTGAAATGCCATGGGTTAGATGCAAACAAAACACCTGCACACAAATATGCACATATGTACAGCCATACAGAGTTACTGAGGCAGCTGAGGTATTCAGAAAACCCCTGTGATTTTCCGCACAATTCAACGCACCCATCAATGGTCCACCGGGTCACAGTCACCGGCCACGGCAACGTCATCAGTGTCCTCCTCATCATCTGAGTCCTCGGCAAGGATCTCTGGCCAAACGCCCATCCACACTGTGGGAGGTGCCCGTCTCCATTCTTCCTCTTCATCCTCAACGTCGTCTTCCCAGTCGCTGTCGCTGCCATCTATCGGAGACTCCACGAAGCTCGTTTTTGACTCATGCTCACGCCGCGGCTCGGGGAAGAGAATGGCCAGCGGAGCGATCGGCTCGTACCGCTCCCCGTCGAACCGGGTGAAGAAGCGTCCCACTTCCTGATGATCGATAGGCTGGGGATCTGGGGCCAGTTGCAGCTCCTCTGCAATGATACATCCACTTCTGTTAGTGGCAGACAGAAGGGGCGCTCTACACAAGAATGGGTGCAAGATATATTGCAAGTTGCTGTGATTTGTAGACAGCCCAACAATATTTTTTCAACAGCAGCTAGGGGCGTGGGCTGCACCACATAGTGCAACGTCCAGTTTGGCTGTGTAATGTAGAAATATTGGAACTTATGAAATAGCAATGAATACGAATCAGAGCAGATATTCCGAAAGCTCCCATGTAGACATCATCAATAGTCAACTCAACATAGCACCTTTGTGGTGTACATAAAGCTGGTCCAATGCACCCAAACAAAATATGCCAGCGCTCTGCTCGTAACTGACATACTGGTGGGATGTCAGTGTAATGTACTCCAAATCGGTGCACAACATTTACTCGGGGAGCCTGCTCACCTTCAGCCATGCATCCGAAACCGTCACCCTCCATCAGCAAGTTGTAGAAAGGTTGCTTTTCTCCCCGCTCAAGTCCGGAGCAGACGCGGCTATGTGCTATCCAGTCCTGCAAACACCACCAACCCCGAGTCAACACAATAACTCACACCACGTGGCCGTCGTAGCAGATGAGAGCGAGGGGAAACCGTGAGGCTTCGTGGAAATACTGGTAAGGAACTTTCACGCGTCAAGTGAGTTTCAAGGAATTCAAGTGACATCCGTGGCAAATTGGTACGCTACATGCCCATCACTGATGCACCGATTTCTACCACCAATCAAGAAGGGGAAAGCCCAGAAGGAAAGACTGACACAAATGCAACATGCCTGTATGAAACAGAAAGACACATTTGTGATACGACAATGGAATGCATTGAAAACGAATTATGTGAATGGCAGACAGGACATTGCAAAACCATAATTGACCATATTAGATACTTTAAACCCAACATGCTGAAGACATTCCACATCCCCTCTTTCAAAAAAGATCGCTGTTGGCAAAATAAGGACAGCACTAGTCACACAAATAAATATTTACCAGGCCTTCAGCGACTTCCTTTCTGTGGAAGAAGTGACAAAACAACAAAAAAGTCGAGATGACTTCTCAGGCTTTGCCACTTAACTAGATCAATTCTTTACAAAACAGTACAAATGGGGTCAGACATGGACTGGCCTGATCCTGTCACTCCATTTAAACCGCTCGTACCTGTGAGACCTCGTAGTATGGTGAGCAGCCGTACACCACTGCCAGGCGCTCGTCGCCGTACGTGACGACGTCACCGACGCCGAACTGCCTCGGATAGTCGCCCGCTGCTCGGTCCGCCGCGCGGAGGTTCACCTGTAACACCGATGAAAATACTGACGGCGTTGCACACAACCTCGGAAGATGATTGAGGGGCATGGTATAACATGAGTAGCGCGACACAAAACATAACTGAAAAGAAATGAGCTGAGATGGCAGTACCGAGCATCACCCAAACCAGAAACAACAAAAAGGGAAAATAGGGCATCCACAAATCCTTGAAGCAAAAAGCTCACACGCACAAAACGACGTAACAACAGCACATCTGCATCACACTTGTATGCTGATGATGCTTAGACATGGGATTAAACATGCTCCACAACGGAATTTAGCCAGCGGCATTTAGCATTCAGCATTTTAACGTGCGTTTGCAAAAACACGTACACTTGACTGACCACCATGCATGCATAACATAACACGACACACAACAGCACCACGGAATCCAACTGCACCACTCACACGCGTACGCACAGGCACGCTTCCGCATTACGTTGGTGAGAAGCTACAGGAGTAACTTCACGCATCGGCAATTTTATCAAATCCAGTTTATTATTATTACCAGTTCGTGGACTATGGCCTCTTGTTCATCCAGGGAGAGCGTCAGCCGTTTATACATCCTCTTGAAGTGCTTCATGAGTGCTTCCAAGCCACGCCTCTCGTTCTCCGCCAGTAATACGCCGTTAGCCTGGATGAATTGCTGCAGATAGAAGGCAGTGAAAATAAAGTCACATCAGATTCCCTCATTGTATCGCCACGTGTTTTTTTCTGACACAATTTTGGACGCAACGCACAGCCCTCGATTGCGAGCCATGTACGAATTCGATATTTTCGTGAACCAAAGATGAGGCTAAAACGTCACCTTGCAGACGTCCGATCACATCTACATCTTACACAATTATTAGGCACATAAAAGTAAACCAGACGTGTACTTCCGACAACGGTTGAAAACAAGTGCCAAATGCCACGAAAAGAAGGCGCGCGACACCGCTGTGCCATCGCTGCCCACCTCAGCACCGCCTGATGAATGAAATCGACGAAGACGATTGGTCGAAGCCGAGGCTTTCTAGACGATTACACATAGCACACATGCTGGGTTAAGCGATTCATGCATGCTTCTTAGATTGCACGTGCTGAATGTTAAGGTCTAGCGTCATCAAGCACCACTGACCTGCAGCAGGCGGCGTGTGTACATCGGTCTGGAGCGAGCCACAGCGGACATCAGGTCGTCGAGCGCAGCCATGTCCAGGCGGTAGTCGCTGCGAGCCCAGCAAGCCAGTGTCTCAAACGACACCAGGTCGAAGCCAGTCTCTGGCCGGCGGGCTTCTGGATGGGTGGCGCCATTGATCAGGCGGCCCAGCAGCTGCCAAAAACAATGCATCACGTAAGATATGGAGGGACATCATACTGGCACCACAGCACACTGAAGACTGTACACACGGTAGGACTTATCACAAGTTGTAGCGGGGCTGCTGGTACTCACAGATTCATATAAGAACAAAACACCCTGAACCTCAGACTCTGGTGCTTTCTCTGCACGGTCCCTTTGCCAAAGGCAGGCATATAACTACTCGTTAAACAAAACGGCAGATTGTTCAAGAAAAACTCCACGTACTCTACATCACAGGGCCTGTTCACCCAGAGTTTGCAACATCAGATGCATCACGTACCCCTGCTCTGGGGAAGGGTTCCAGCATCTGAAGATCCATGTCCGGATGTACAGCATTCAACTCCTCCAACACCTGCTCTCTGGATAGCTGCATGCCGCGACGGACAACGTCGATGAACAGGTACTCTTCACTGTCCCTGCGTGAGGAGCAGCACGTCAAGACATCGTGCACAATGAACTGCATGCATTGATGCACGCATTTCGTCAATTGCAGTACATCAATGTGCAACAGACAACTTCAGTCACAAAGAAACAGGCAAAAAAGCGCAATCATAAAAAGGTAAACAAGACAAGACCAAACAAGACAAACACCGCCGGTGCACAATTGTTGCATTTCCACAAAATGACAACACATCATGCATCAATGCGATTGGCTTCATACAATATGGATGCTACATTTAGGAAATGAATATCTATTTTTAAGGAAATGATCAATGTCATTACCCACAAATCATACGTAACACCACGTCACTATTTTGGCTTCCTTCCTCCGTACCGTAGTTACCGACTGCTCCAAAGAAAATTTTATAGGAGCAGATATAACGGTGAATTTGAAAATTTTAACGAACAATGAAGTGATGCGCTTACCAGGGCTGATTTCAAGAATAAATGGCTTTGTTGAAAGAAACAAACACATCAAAAGGCAGGCCTTATCATGAAAAATGCATCAAAATCTTTGGCATCAAGTAATTACAAAAACTGGTGAATAAATGCACGTCGTAAAGGCAGGAACACCCAAAAAGACGTGACTTGAGCAGCCAGTCTGTCTATTTAGCGTCAATGGTGCCAGAAGACCCATTCCCCATGACCCTTACGACAATGCTTACGTTTGGTGCCAGCAGATCATCGAGCTATGCGGGAACTGCACATTGTGGAGGTTGACACCCAGCATGCCAGCTACCGAGGAGTAGACCGTCCCCATTACAGTCTGCGTCCCGGAGCCGGCGCAGTGGAGGTGGCGACGAAGGTAGAGCACCTGAAAAAGGAAACAGCAAGCCATTTAATGCATTGTGCTGGAGGCAACAGTAGTAACCTGCACACAACGAGAGCAAACGGCCCATCACACCATTCAGTCACAGAGCCAGTAATATACTACAAATCGGAGATCGCACTTGCTGAAATCAAACATCGCCTATTAGAAACGACCACATTGGCGAGCATTTTATCATGTCTACCATGGTCAGCCGTCAAAGTCAACAATCTTCACGGAGACTCTGGATCTGTGCAGACATCGCAACAGGGTGTTCGGTGTTAAGCCATCTGACAGGAGCCGCATAATGAACCTTACGACGAACCGGCGGAAACGCATGACTGACAGTATGCTTCGAAATTCACAGCCCCGAACGGAAAAGAACATCAGGCAAAACAGGTCAGAAAGAGAAGACTGCGCTTGTCCTGTGTGTGATTTCACCTACCCCAACGTCCAGGAAACATTGATGAATATTTAATGCAGTACACTCACCAGTGTGTTCAGCTCGGCAGTCGGTGCGTACGCCGGCTCTTCATCCTTCATCAGGGCAAGCTGGTCATACAGCACGACGTTCAGCACGTCCAGGAGCAGCAGTGTCTGGTCGTCCGTCCACAGCGTAGGTCCGAACGGGTTCTTTTTGCACGTATCCCAGGCGGCGGCCGGGTGCTCCGGGAGCTTCCGACGAAGCTCGTCCAAAACCAGGCCGGCGACCTTCATGTAGCAGCTGTAAAAACCACGCCAAGTCAACGCTCGCATGTACGCATGAAAGGTCGTCTTTGTTCACGGGGGAAGGGGAGGATGGAGACGAATGTTGCAAAGCTAAGACTGTATCCAGATTTGAGATTAGTGCCTTGTATCCCGTTCCTCTGGCGAAAACCACGATCACATTGGCATACTAAGTTTGACCTAGCTATTTGCTACACCATGCGTCAAGTCCTGTTGATGCCCCTGTAGTAAAAACACAGCGCAGTGTGGCATTTGACTAGAGAGCGACAACATTGAAAATGCCATAACCACTGGTAACAGACGCCTGCAGTCAGCTATCATCGGCACAGATAAACACAGAAAAGAGCTGTGAGATTAGTTGCATACTTGTGCCCATCAGAAGGAGCTACATACACATTAGAAACACAGTCGAGCTGGCAAAACATGTTCGTGCCAAACTTTCAATTTCCGCATGGAGATCGAGCATCTGGTAAGGATATGGGAGACTCACGTCTTAAGACTGGACTCTCGGTTGTTGGTTTGCTCCGGAACCATCCAGAGGCTCATCAGATAAAAGGCTTCGGGCACGTTCACATGCTGCGCTGGGCGCTGCATGTACTCCCGGAACATGGGCAGCAGCACGACGTCTCGCTGGATCTCGCGGAACAGCATCCGCGCATAGTAGCGCAGAGACAGGTCATCATCCCTGCCAAAGAAGGCTCGAATTACACATATGCCTAACACAGCATCTGTCCACTCCGGAGACCAGTTGTGATGTCAAAGGCTTATAGATGAGAAGCGGGCATTTGAAACCAGTGTTTGTGGCCGAATCGGATGCAAATGCTCGTGCGCGCCGTAACATCAGTGTGAGTCGCAATTTTTTTCAGTTAGGACAAAGAGGGAGAAAAGGCTGCAGCCAGGAGTGTCACTTCTTATATCTTTTCGGAATGCCCGATGCAACTAATCCTGACATAAGCCTCCCCGCCTAACCTCACAATACTCCTTTCAGCCTTGGAATGCCAGTGAACAAAGAGGGAATACTTGGCCATATAGTGAAACAACAGCTATCTTGTCTAATTGGTACATGTTGCAGTTTCCTAAACGCACCACTAATGCGATCATGGATATCATACACCACTCATCTTCGTCTAGGTACCTAGTGGCTTGTCACGCTACCCGCTTTACATTTTAAGCCACCCGGCAAATGTTTGACCCGTTTTTGAAATAATACCGTCTGGATTTTGATCAAGAACAGCTAACTCCAAAACGTGGCAGCTTTGAAAATCGCGAGTGGCCTTACTAAAAGCTAATGCATGTTTCAGTGCTCTGTGGCCGCGTATCTCCCTCACTTGCTGACAAGTGAGGGAGAGAGACACCAAAATGGATTTTTTTGGAACATATCTGGATATCACAAACAGTTAACGTGCACATTCCCGACAAACCAAAATCTCGTTGTCAAAGCATATGCATGTCAGTGCAAGCATTTGTTGGAGTTCGCAGTCATTTTGACCGGATTGGTTTTCTAAATTTTTATAGCGCTGAAAATTACTTTTAAAAGTTTTTGAAGAGTTCTCAAAAGTTTCGAAAAAATCAAAAAGTGTGAAAAATAGAAGTTACTAGAAGCTTCCGAAAGAAGGTTCGGAAAGCTTAGCGCTGCACTGCAACGCCTAATTTTCCTCTGCAGTAGGCAATTAAATAGCGTATCATTTGGCATTAATTTTAGGTTTGCGCTGCTTAGGATTTTTGAGATTTTATCCAAAGCTTTTCAATCGATGGATTTCTGAAATCAGAACTCACACTAAGTGGTGTTTGTTGGCTTAGCACTGACCTATGGGCTCAGATCGTGCAATGCCAGGGCATAGGCAGAAGTTAACGGTGAAAGTTTTCCGTACCCCAACGCCCAAGGTACCGTAAGAGTCATTTTATTTGAAATCAAACTCAGTATTTCCAAGTCACCATTGCATTCACGACGTGCTAAGAGCGTCACTCAAATTTTATTTATTCTATAAGCCATACGGCTATCAAGGCCAAGACACATATAGTTGTCGAGGCATTTGTCTGGCGTTTGTGAGCGCGTTTCTAGGTATAATGGCCATCAATCGGCGCTCAATCAATGTGGAATAAATTGTGACGTAATCAAACAATGGAGCATTGAGGAGCATATTTACACAAGAAATAATTGTGCCGTCTGCAACAATATTTATCATTCAAAAAGTATGCCAAATGTGGTAGGTGACGTGGTTTCATCATGTCTAATGATTGCTTCAAGTGTGAAGCATCCCTTTAAGGCCGCTTATCTAGATCATGGCCCGTGAAATTTAGCCCGTGACTATCAGCGAACGCAACCTCTAAGAACTCGTTCAATCTCATGCCAGAACGGAGTGTTTTACGAATTAGTTCCGCATACAGTGAGATGTAATAAGTTAGCAGTACTATAACTTTATTTAACATTGGTGATGCATGAAGGTCAAACCAAGGGGAAAATGAACCCTTTTTTAAGGTGGAGTGTACTTGGTGTGGTAATTTGTGGTGCTCACTTTTGAGGTTTTACTAACAGGGATTGTAAGATGATCTTCCATGAAGTTCGTAAAATTCAGAGAATGTCATTGACCTAAAGTGACAAAATGACAAGGACCAGCATTTTTTTTCATCAGCATGCTACCTTTTGTTCTTTTTGACGTTTCTTAATATTACAGATCCTAAGCAATGCTGCATTCGGTCACCATGATCATCTAAAGATCAAGCAAGGCCCCAGATCTAAAATAAATGCCAGCTTCGTTTTGCTCAGAGCAGGTATTTATGTTGAAGACACTTCCATAACGAGTTGTGGTTGTACCTTTAACACCGATCGGGAGTTAAGCATTGTTTGATCTTGTTTAACACGAAGGTATGGCCTAGGGGCCTGAAAGCGTGACAAAATTTAGTTCGCATACAAGCAACCGTATCTTGTGAAGTTGGTTCTTGTAGTTTTTGTTCTTTTTTATGTCTCAGGCATCGAAATTGACCCGCTCCGAGCACGTGGCGTGTGACCGGCCACCCGGGAACAGATTAACATGTGCTTGGGTGTGGGTGTATTTCACCCCCTCCTCGCCCCCCCCCCCCCCAATATTTTACGGAATGATTCGTGCACAGCGCGGCGCAGCCGCTCCCAAATATCCGATACAGTAGACAAATGTATAGCGGATTTTCAGTGTCAGCAGTTTAGTTGTGCCTTGTAAGGGTGCTGTCCTACCGCTAGTGGAAATCAGGCCGTGGGTTCAGCGACGACAGTATTAAAGGAATCGTTCCATCTGATTTAACAGGAGGGCGTTAAAGAAAGCCATACATCTCGAAGATAATTTCTTAGGCAACATAAGAACTGATGAATTCCAATAGCTCAAGGTCAAGGACAAAGGCTAGACGAAGTTAAGAAATAGTTTGTTTGTTGCCGCAACTTAATGTGTAGGATAGTTTCTTGTGCTGTTTTCAAGTTCTTGAGAGGAGGAACCACATTATGCACCTTCCACACGGTTTTTAAGTTCATTTAAGTTCAGAAAAGACTGCGTACCTAGAAATCACATGGGAACATTTTGTTTTTAGGAGCATACCACCTAGCATAATTCTTAATGCACCTTCAAGTGCAAAAATTAGAAGGTTTTGAAACTTTTGGTCACAATTAGCCTACAAAGGTCGAAAAATGTCGTTAAATGTAAACGTGCACCAGATGACATTTTCTTAGCACCGGCATCATCTAGATTCAGTGTTTGCATCAGACGGTCTTGTCTCATGGAAATAGGCGGGTGTAGGGGAGGGGGGGGGGGGAGGGGACTTCGGGCATCGATGTGAAACTAGACATTTTTGCTCCTGTTTGACCAGATTGCCATGATCTAAGAACCTTAAATCTTAACACATATGAGTTCACACAGAGCTCAAAATACCTTTTGAATTCAGTTCCTTTAGCTTTCTTGCTTTCCGAGATCTCAGGGTGACCAGCTTGATCTGCCCACCCGAGCAAAAGGCATTCGAACGGAATGTGTTAACCCGTCATTGGTGGGGTTCGAATAAGTGTTTGGTGGTGGCGGCGAGTGACACTGTGTTAAATGATTCGAAAAATGGAATTGAAAACATGGAGATTGCAATATGTTCAACAAACACTGCACGAAAAGCTGATAGCAGGATGTCAGTGTGTCATAGTACATCAGACACAGACATGAAGGTCATAATTAAACATTTGAACATGTCGCGTAACTAATGACCCTGACGTAACTGGAAACCAAATATGCCGAATTTGTGTTCGAAAGCGTTAAGAAAAAATAAAAAGAAAACCTACATGACAATTCGGCAACAAAGCAGCAGTGAGATATTACGTTAAACTTTCACTTACATATTCAGGTGGAACGCTGCACTACCCACAAAATGTCCTTTACTATACGTACGCGATCTGTCGACAGCCCTTGGTGCACCGGCAGCCCAACGGTGACAGAGAGCGGCGGTTTACGGAGCTGGCCTGCGCGCACAGCGGAACCCATCTGGACCGATTACAGCCCGAGCGGCCGGCACGCAGTGTGTGGCTGGCGGTGGGCCGCCGCCAAACGACCTGCCACCGGTAGAGGCGCTGTCAGGAGCGCGTGAGGGCTAGAGACGGTGAGGACGGCTGCAGGCTCACGGGTCAGCTGTGCGACGGGATGGGGACAGCCGACTAGCCACCAGCACGGGCGTTATCCGGCACCTGGTACCGCTGGCAACAACCTCCAGCGCCATCCAACAGGTTGCGCTTACCAGGCATGCCGGGTCAGACTAGTCACGCCGGGGTCGCGCGGGGGCAGCGAGCAATGGCGGCGTCAGGTATACTCGAGCAGAAGGCCATGGAGTGCACGAAACTGTTCTCGGCAAAGGAAGGCGTCTTGGTTTTTGTTCTCTACGTT